GTCTAATGCTGAGTACCTAAGTGATGCAGTTTTACAATAGAAGAAAAAAGACATACCTCCTCAAAATCCCAGCACAACAGCTTTCCTTTCTTTGCATAGATGAGGATGAACAGTTGTAATCCACAGTATTTCCCAGAAAGTTATTTTTTAAAAGACAAAGAAACAGAAGATCCCTATGAAAAGAGATCCAGCCTGGGAGTATGGATCTTGATCTTGTTAATCTTGTGATCAAGAGTTGCTGTTCACCAAGTGTCAGCATCTGAAGAAAGTGCTAACTGGGGATGTGTCCTCGAGAAATACCCGCTGGGACAGGGAGCAAGAAGAGAAACACTACTGAATGCAAATGACTGGCTGGCAAATAATTACCAGATGTCAGTCTGCAAAATTTTTTAAGTTGATATTAGTAACACTGAAAGATCACATGGAGGTAAATACAAGTGGCCAAGCCCAGGTGGCACTAGAGTTATCAATGACAGCTGCAATCAAAGGTACACTTCAGCAGGTAGTCCAGCTCTCTGATTAGTAATAAATAAGCAGTATAGTAAAACAAAGTATAAAAACGTATTTTATGTTTTTTATAGCAAGATGATGCTCATATCATACAACCAAATACAGATAAATAATATTAGGTAGTATGGCAAACAGACCAAGCACTCTGGTGCTTTAAAAAACAAATATTATAGAACAGATGTCTAAGTCAGCAGGTATCTACGTCAAAAGAAAATATAAAATAACATGAAAAAAATACATAGGTAGGTCTGGCAGAAAAACGAAGTCAATGTGGAAACCAAGAGACAAGGTTAATTTAATACATATGTGATTTTGTATACCCTTCGGATAGCTTACAGAATTAGGAATCCTTTATTTTGGCAGCAAATTAAGATAGTATTTCTTGACACCCGCCATGCCACTGCATTTCTATCAAACTACAAATTATAGAATATATAGTTGACTGAAATGAAATACACTGAATGGGATTAAGAGTAGGTAAGACAATGCAGAAGAGAAGATTTGTGAATGTAAAGACATAATAATAGAAACTACCCAAAATGAAACCCAGAATACAAGAAAACAGAAAAAAGGGCACAGCATCAGTGAGCTATGGGACAAACTCAAGGAGCTTAGTAACATATGTGTAATTGGAATCTTGGCAGGGGGAAGATTTGAAAAAACAATCCAAAAATTTTCTAAATTTGATGAAAGTAACGAACCTACAGATCGAAGAAGCTCAACAAAAGAAACGAAGAAAGCTAAAACTCCACCAAGAAATACTTGGAATCAATTTCCTTAAATCCAGAGGTAAGGGAAAAAAAAAATCTTAAAAGCAGCCAAAGTCAGAGCTCCACGTCAGGCTCCATGCTCAGCAGGGAGTCTGATTAAGGATTCTCTTTCTTAGGTGCCTGGGTGGCTCTGTCAGTTAAGCGTCTGCCTTCAGCTCAGGTCATGATCCCAGGGTCCTGGGATCAAATCCCCCGCATCGGGCTCCCTGCTCAGCAGGGAATCTGCTTCTTCCTCTGTCCCTCCCCCCGCTTGTGCACGCGCACTCTCTCTCTCCAATAAATAAATAAATATTTTTTTTAAAAAAAGGATTCTTTCTCCCTCTTCCTCTGCCCCTCCCCCTGCTTGCATACACATGTGCTTGCCCTCTCTATAAAATTAATAAATGAATCTTAAAAAAAAAGGCAGCCAGAGGAATACAGAATGGAGGAAAGTATTTGCAAATTATATATTTCAAAAGTAATTAATATCCAGAATATAGAAAGTAATTAATATCCAGAATATAGAAAGATTGCCTACAACTCAACAAACCACAAAAAATGAACCACCCAATAGAAAAATGGACAAAGAACCTGAATAGACATTCGTCCAAAGAAGATATATGAATGGCAATTAGTACATGAAGATGCTCAACATAACTAATTACTAAGAAAATGCAGGGGGCCTGGGTGGTTCAGTTGGTTAAGCAACTGCCTTCAGCTCAGGTCATGATCCAGGAGTCCCGGGATCGAGTCCCACATCGGGGTCCCTGCTCAGCAGGGAGTCTGCTTCTCCCTCTCACTCTCTTCCCTCTCGTCCTCTCTATCTCTCATTCTCTCTCTCTCAAATAAATAAATAAAATCTTTAAAAAATATATATTAAAAAAAAAAAGAAAATGCAAATCAGGGGTGCCTGGGTGGCTCAGTTAGTTAAGCATCTACCTTCAGCTCAGGTCATGGTCTCAGGATCCTGGGATCAAGCCCTGCACCCAGCTCCCTACTCAGCAGGGAGTCTGCTTCTCTTCTATTTCTGCTTCTCCCTCTGCCCCCTCCCCGCTACTCATGCTCACACTTGCATGCACTCGCTCTCAAATAAAGAAAGAAAATCTTAAAAAAAAAAAAAATGCAAATCAAAACCACAATGAAATACCATCTCATACTCATTAGGATGGCTACTATCAAAAAAAAAAACAACACAGAAAATAACAATGTTAGCAAGAACGTGGAGAAAACAACAGAGCCACTGTGAAAAACAGCATGGCAATTAATCAAAATTTAAACATATAATTATCATATGATCCAGCAATTCCACTTCTAGGTACATACGCAAAAGAACTAAAAGCAGGACCTCAAAGAGGTATTTGTACACTCATGTTCACAGCTCTATTCACAAGAGCTAAAACATAGAAACAACACAAACGTCCATTGACAGAAAAACAGATAGCTAAATGTGGTCTATACATACAATGGAATATTATTTGGCTTCAAAAAGGAAAGGAATTCTGACACATATTACAACATGGATGAATCTTTATGACATTATGCTAAGTAAGTAACCCAGTCACAAAAAGACAAATACTGTATGATTCCACTTACATGAATTACCTAAAGTAGTCAAAATCACAAACAGAAAGTAAAATGGTGGTTACCAGGGGCTTGGGTAATGGGGAGTTGCTTTTTTAATAGGTACCGCTTCACTTCTGCAAGATGAAGAGTTTTGGAAAAAGATGGTTGTGATGGTTGCACAATGATAGGAATGTACTAAATACCACTGAACAGTACAATTAAAATGGTTAAGATGGTAAATTTTATGTTACATGTACTGTACCAGAACTTTTATTTTTTATTTTTTTTAAAGATTTTATTTATTTATATGAGAGAGAGAGCGCACATAAGGGGCGGAGGGTCAGAGGGAGAAGCAGACTCCCCGCTGAGCAGGGAGCCCGATGTGGGACTCGATCCCGGGACTCCAGGATCATGACCTGAGCCGAAGGCAGTCGCTTAACCAACTGAGCCACCCAGGTGCCCTGTACCAGAACTTTTAAAAACTGAAAGAAATGGGCGCTTGAGAGAGAGAATGAGAGAGAGAGAGCACATGAGAGGGGGGAGGGTCAGAGGGAGAAGCAGGCTTCCCGGCTGAGCAGGGAGCCCGATGTGGGGCTCGATCCCAGGACCCTGGGATCATGACCTGAGCCGAAGGCAGACGCTTAACGACTGAGCCACCCAGGTGCCCCATGTTCCTTGCTTTCAAGAAGTGTGAAAAACAGCATTAGATTTCAATGAATTGGTGAAGCTACCCCAAACTGGCAAAACAAGAACACTTTTGCCAAGCCTTGCTGAGGAAATTGAATTTATCAAAGCAAAGGTGTTGAAGCAATAACAGCAAAACAAAGCTTCAGGGTTGGGGGCGCATGGGTGGCTCAGTCGTTAAGCGTCTGCCTTTGGCTCAGGTCATGATTCCAGAGTCCTGGGATCGAGCTCCGCAGGAAGCCTGCTTCTCCCTCTCCCACTCCTCCTGCTTGTGTTCCCTCTCTCGCTGTGTCTCCCTCTGTCAAATAAATAAATAAAGTCTTTAAAAAAAAAAATTCTTCAATTAAAATCTTTTAAAAAACACACACACAAAGCTTCAGGGTTGGGTGCTAAAAGAGGAAAAAGAAAACACTAATATTTAATGCGACTTTACTATAGTCCAAACCTCAGAGGAAATGTGGTTAAAAGAATAAAACCTCTATAATACCACTAATGTCAAATAGATTACAGAATGGGAATCCTGCCTACTATCCCTCTGAACACATGTTAAAAATAATTCATACACTCAGAGATTCCTTTAGACCACAAGCAGATCTTCTGATCCAACTTCACAATGAGAAACTACTTGCTACTATGAAAGATAACTAAATGGTACACACCATAATTCAGGATGTTCCTCTAACAGGATTCTAGGGAAGACTACCTACTGTTGCCCCAATTGGACCAAAATTCTTTACAAAGACAACAGGAAAATTATATGATTTCACTATTCACTGATAAATACCATGCCAAGAGAAAGGAGCATTCTTTCAGCACTTTACACCAAATAATGTAACTTCCCTTTCAATATGAAAATAAAAATTATCAAAAGAAACACATTACCTACCCAAAAGAACCTAAAACATGTTCAAACAAAAACCTTTCCATGGGTGTTCATAGCATTATTCATGATACCCAAAAGGTGAAAACAACTCAAATGTCCATCAACTGATAAATGAACAAAATGTGGTATGTCCATACAATGGATTATTCATCCACAAAAAAGGAATTATGTTCTGAAATATGCTACAACGTGGATGAATCTTAAAAACATTGTTAAACAAAAGCCAGAAATAAAAGACCATATGTTATATAATTCCACTTAAATGAAATGTACAAAATCAGCAAGCCCATAGGGACAAAAATCAGTCTAGTGATTGCCAGAGGATGGGAAGAGGAACTGCTTAATTAATACAAAGTTTCTTTTTGGGTTGATGAAACTGTTCTGGAATTAGTAGTGGTGGTTGTACAACATTGTGAATGTACCTAAAAGCCTCCAAACTGTACATTTTAAATGGTTAAAATGATGAATTGTGTTAAATGAATTTTATCTCAGTAGAAAAAAATGTTTCCAGAGTGTTGGTTGTCTACTACTTGTATCTCCCACTACTTAACAAAATGCTGTGTTCATAAAAAAATCATTCAAAACACTTTTTAAAATTTGAAATAGTGACATTCTGGCAAAGGCAAAACTACAGGGACAGTAAACAGATCAATAGTTGCCAGGGGCTGGTATCAGGGGAGTTAAATAGGTGAGCAACAAATTTTTTAAAGCAGTGAAACTATAGGACACCATAATGGTGAATATAAGATATTAAAAGTTGTCAAAACCCATTCTGTGTTAAAGCACAGAGAATAAGCCTTAATGTATGGACATTTTTTTTTTAATTTTATTTATTTATTTGACGGAGAGAGACACAGCGAAAGGGAACACAAGCAGGGGGAGAGGGAGAAGCAGGCTTCCCTCGGAGCAGG